AAATAAGAGAAGAGAAGAGAAGAGAAGAGAAGAGAAGAGAAGAGAAGAGAAGAGAAAAATTGGAAGACAAGACTGGAAGAGAAAAGAAGAGAAGAGAGCTAGGTTCTCACACCTGCGTCTTCACATCAGTTTGATAAACACTTAAGTTATAAACTGACTGCCGGGCCGTCAGCTCATACTGCTAAGCCTTGAATAATTACTCTCAAAAGGACCCCTTGCTGTTAGGGGCCACGTGACTTGATTTTGCAATGGCCATATTATCGATATTAGTTAGGTCGTCGTAATCTATTTGCATTAAGGTATGATTTCAATCAGTTATGACATTATCTCGTATATCGCGCTCTGATGACGAATAATTGTTTTTAATCAATCAGCTGAATGAAGCTCATGAATCTCATCACTATCAACCAGAGAGTATTCTATTGCTCGGTAGCATTCAGCCGAATGAATCTCATGAATCTCATTACCAGCCTACAATGACAGGCAAGCACTGCCCTTCATGCGCTTCAGCTGAATGAATCTCGTTACCAACGATGACTAAGTTTTCAGTGAATTGAATGGAAATCGTGTTATATTTTGATGTTTTTATTTCACTTTCTCAACTACGTTATAAGTTACATTGTAATTCTAGAAGCCACAATTCAAGTTATATTCTGTGACCCTGCCGTTAGGCATTAACTGGAACATTTTATAAGGTTATTAGACTGTCTAGCAACTACTGAGCCGATCTCTAACCCATTAGTTATTACAGCGAAGCGAGAGGAAGACTTACTTTGTGAAAGTCTCTAGTTATCGGTTTATCTAAAGAACTGGAGTGTCTACCATCAGATTTAATCCGAAAAATCCGGAAATTCCGGCTGGAAAGCATTTGGTATATGTTATTACTATTCCGTATAAGTTACAAAAAACTCGGTCTTCCGGTAGACGCGTGTACCATTTATCGAAAGTCAAAATTTCCCGCTTTTTTCTTACTAATCCAACCAGATGGGTTGGTTTAATGAGGTTTTCCCGCTCTTTTCTGTTCATCCTGTTCTTCAGGTAGACGCGTGTTCCATTTATCGGAAGTCAAAGTTTCCCGCTCTTATTTTACTATCCCAACCTGATTAAATGGTAAGCACCACTGTATTCTAGTGCAGTTTTCGTATGACCGTGAAAAGTTCACGGCACGAACACGGTCGTGACACAGCAAGGGATACGCCAGACAAATCACATTGCACGATAATTTACTCTCCATCTAATCAAATACCCGGAACATGGCATAAACACGGCGCGGACACGGACACGCCAAGATCACGGCAATGCCAGACCAATCATGTTTCGCGTAAAAAAGAAAAAGCCAATTCAAATTCTAGAAAGTATCACGGTCACGGCACGGCACGCTTACAGCAGAGCTTTTCACAGTCATACGAAAACTGCTCTAATATATCTAATACTACTCAGTTCATTTGATTTTATATATTTTTCGTTTATGAGTTGTTTCTCTTTTGAGAGAATTTCTCCTATTCTTTATGATTCGCCTATATTTTTTTCCGCAGTCAACTTATTTTCAAATTATTCAAGCTTTAAGATTAATGTTTTTGGAAGCGAGTCCATATTCAAATTTATACTTATAGAC